TGAGAGCTCGTAAAGAGCGGTCCACCACGCCCTTGTGTTGGAGAAGAGTGAAGGAGAATCACAGAGCTGCTTCTCCCGTCACTTTAAGTGACTTCTTATCTGGTGCACAAACCAGGAGTCAACACTCTCCCACCTGCCAAGCTCAACGGATACATGTTTAATTCTAGATTTGAAGTTTTCGTGACTGCAATGATCCATACTCTTTGGTTCTGTCGGTAAAGTCACGTAGATGAAAACATTTTTTTTGTTCTTTTCATTTTATTATTATTTTTTTCATCTACGTGACTTTACCGAAAGATACATGTTTGGCATTTGCCAGTCAAACCAAGACAGCGTTGTAGTTCTCACGGCTGGAATGTTGCCATATTGAGTGTAAAACCAAACATGATGCGATTTTATGTTAATGCAGTAATTGGTAACTAGGCTGAGACCATCAACTCACGATACTTGAGTACGTGGTTTATTCATGAAGGGTTGTCCAAATTCAGAACTAGGTCGGTATTCTGAACTGGCCACCTGCAATTGGACCATTAAACATTTTTTCAGCTAATATGAGATATTGACTCTATGTTTAAACCTTTAATCTCAGTTGTTTCATAATAAAGTTTATAACATTGTCAAATATTGCAACATTTTTATTGAGGAAACAAAACAAGTTTAACGTTTTTATATTTTGGGATTAGTATTACATTTCTTTCCTTGTTTTGACTGACACAAAAATACCCTAATATGTGTTTTGACCAATAACACATTCCTCAGCCTTGCACGCCACACAGTTCAGCATTGCCACATAACAACCAACACCTGGACCCAATAACACCAACAAACCCCGCGATGATGTTAAATGCATATCGAGGGGCCATTTGCTCATTGCTGGAATGTGGCTGTTGTGTTTCCTGCAGTTGCATGGTTTTGTTTATTCCAATTAATTTATTGGAATTGAAACTGTGAACAAGTAACGATGCATTAGTGCACTGATATGCATGTACATCTTTTTGTCAATCCACTGCTGGATGAGGGCCTCCTCATATCATGCGAGTCATGGGTTTATTTTACCATACTTCACCATGCCGATTAGTACAGGTTGGTGAACGTGGGAAGCATTAATGTGGTACTACAGAAATACAGTACAAAAATATTTCTGAATTTTCTCCCTGTTCGGCCCACAGCATAGGGCCACATCCTTTAACACCTGTTATGCACAGTTGTCATCCACCCAAGCAAGCACTATCCAGGTACAACCCTGTTTAGCTTCTGAGGTCTGTGCAGATGGGATGGGATGCATTCCAGCAACAAATAGTGTGGGCCATGAAATATAGTGAGAACCAAGAATCCTAGGGCCAACACTTCTGTGGTCCTGTATTTGGGAAGTTTTAAGGAAATTGTGCTGAAGCTTTTCTTTTCTAATATTGATATAATTTGGGGAAGGAAACCTGGTGTCAGGAGGCAGAGCTACTCACTTCAACCCACAATGGGGGGTGGGGGGAGGGAATTGAGAAGCGCTCCATCTTTAATTTTCATCTCCCCAGCTCATTCTTCAGATGCTGGCGCAAGTTTTAAACACCAATGGACGGGGCACGAAAGTTCTAAAAACACATTCCTGTGGAGGGAGCTGGTAGGAACGTTGGGTTGCTCGGTCAATGGCCAGGGTCAACGCAAATATGCCCGACTGCGAGGGCAGGCACAAGCCGGCGTGAGTAGGTTAAACGTTGAGTTTTATAAGGGCACCACGGGGTGACCAGCCCCTCTCCACCCTCCCCACCCAGCCCCTCCCCACCCTCCCCTCCCCACCCAGCCCCTCCCTGCACGACGGACGGACGGACACAATAAACCCCTGTGGGCTGGTGTAACCAGGAGGTTCCTACCAGTATAATGTTTGAAAACATGTCATCCGCTGCGCTTTTATATTTTTCATTGTTCACACACGAGCCCCACTATGTTCTGTCCAAGTGTTTCCTCGCCTGCTCCTTAGAGCTGTCGCCAAAAAAGGTGAGTTGAGAAAAATGTGCACCGGAGAACAAATGTGTACTTAAGCATCAGCAGCTTTACAGGGCGTCTCGGTATATATTTATTTTTTGAGACCAGCAAAGCATTCATATGTTTTCAAATTTTTTTTGCCAGGCTTCAACATGGGTGTCAATGGAACCCGTAACGCAGAGAAAACGATACCTTTTCAAAGTAAAGTTGTTTGAGATGGCAGTGCTACCACCTGCCTCAGGTGATTATGAATCACTTGTGACAGAGAACATTGTCTTTGAATTGATTGTCAAAAATGCACGAAGATCTGTGGTTGCACATAGCTTGATGCAATTACAGATTTGCCCTGGTAATGGCTGTGTGCCTTTAATATGATATCTACCATACAGTATATTGCTTGTTATACTTAACCTTTTGGGATAGTTTAGAATTACAACTGTGTAAATACGAAAGAACAAGAATCCTTAAAAGGCAACATATTTGATATCAGCTGTCTTGCAAATATGAGAAGTGTCATATGTATGTCGCTTACCATTCTGTTGGAAAAGCAGTCGAAAAAATATGGATGGCAGGGTTTATTTTATTGTCTGTGTGAAAGTTGCAGGGATATCCCACGTTGCCCAGGTCTCTCGCTGACACATGTCACCAGAAGCACACAGTCCCATGCCCACGAATGGAAGTGCCCACACTTTACCCCACCAGTGTCGGAGGGCCACGCCAACCAAGCACCATTCGTGCTGCCAACACTCCCCAGGGATCAGTAAGAGCAACCTCTTGTTTGGCCACACGTGCGAGTTGGCTCACTGTAGTCATCATCCCATGCTGTTGGTACACTTGCAGGGTGCATGCGGTGTTCAAATCTGGCGTGTGTGTGTGTGTCTGGCTCACCTTCATGAGCAGTAGGGGGGTGACATATTGCAATCAGTGGAACTTGTAGAATGTAAATCAGAGAGGCTGTAAGCCATGTTGAAACACTGTTATGTAACTCGTTGTTCAAGCTTCAATGCAGAGAGAATGTTATTAACGTTGTACGGTGTGTCTGATGGGCATTGAAAGGGGGAATGTTTGAAAAGAAAGCAGTTATTTTGACACGTGTGGGTTATTAATCATACTGCTCATACCTTGTGAGGGTGAACTATTTTGTACACGTGAGGTCCAGGGCCTGCTTACACATCATTCATTAAAATATAACAAAAATATATATCACTGTGACTTACTTAGCTGCAGATTAGTGGCCATCAGCATACAGATGTGAACGTGTTGCGTTCAATCCAATTGACTATTAATATTCATCGATTCACTGCATCAGCATCGTTGGCTACGTAAGGTGCGAAAGAAGTTCAACATACATACATACACACGCATGACATTAAGGGTAATCCTCTGAAAATAAGGAAAAAGCTTAAATTAGTTTTGACAATACAATGTTGACGAATATCAATTGTGTGTGTGTGGGGGGGGGGGGGGGGGGGGAGCCTGTGAGAATGCTGTATTGAGCATCCTGTGTGAGCATGGTGTGTCCTGTGAGCATTGTGTATGAGCATGGTGTGTCCTGTGAGCATTGTGTATGAGCATGGTGTGTCCTGTGAGCATTGTGTATGAGCATGGTGTGTCCTGTGAGCATTGTGTATGAGCATGGTGTGTCCTGTGAGCATTGTGTTTGAGCATGGTGTGTCCTGTGAGCATTGTGTATGAGCATGGTGTGTCCTGTGAGCATTGTGTATGAGCATGGGTGTCCTGTGAGCATTGTGTATGAGCATGGTGTGTCCTGTGAGCATTGTGTATGAGCATGGTGTGTCCCGCGAGCATGCCGTGTCTGGGGGTTGACAGCCTTGGTGGCGTTGGCTGTCTCCCCTCGCCCCGAAGTTGTTTGGTCTCCCTTGTCCTTCAGCCGTGGTATTGTTTCACCTGCTCGTCAGAGGTGTGGCCAAAGGTCCCCTCGACCCGGGGACAGCTGGGTGGAGTCTCAGCTGCTTTTCCTTCTCTTATTTTGTTTCCTGCCACTTTGCGTGGCAGGCGTGTGGCGTGCCCACTCGAGCATCCGGTCTCAGACCACCTAACGATCCGGGAGGTGACATAAGCCTGCAAGACATGCCTCTCGTTACGAATAAAACAATGGCTTCATTTATTTGCGCCCCTTTGATATTGCAGTAATTTTGCTGTCCCTGTACGCTCGTGTCAGAGCAATCACCTCTTCGATGAAATGGGCTGCAAAAAAAAACAAAGTATAATTTGTACAATTCCATGGGGAAACTTTGAATTGAATTCAGTGTTCGGTTGCGTTCATGATCATTGCTGCTTAGGACAGCACGAGGTGAATGTAATAATGACTACTCTTCATTCATTGGCCATTCCAGGATGTCAGATGTAATGGAAACTAAGTACTGTCGTGAAGAATAAATGCTAATCTGTTGATCCTCTTAAAATTATGACACTAAAAGGGCACAGAGTGCTTCCTGTTTGAAGTTGTTTAACTTGGATCCCGCAAATGTCTAAATCCTATCAACAAATGTTATCGTCCTATAGCGAATTTCATTGAGACCCATTTGTCAAAAAACACTATTTTCTATAGGTGTAGAAGCTTGCACATAAACGTGTATTCTACAGATGTGTGCATCAAGGGACTGATTATGACGATGCACGGTATAGAGGGCATCTTATTTGCACATGCCAGGTGGCAAGCAGGAATTGTTTGTCTGTTATATGTGGATCACAGCCAGGCTGTCTGCGTGCAATCACGCAGTCACTCAAAAACCACAAGCGCAGCCTTCCACGAAATGTGTCTGCTATTGATTTTCCTTACAAAGAACCCGAGGCACGTGGGTCTGGTTTTTTTTTGGTCTCCTTATATCTCGTCCTGGTCCCAACCGCTAAGGCGCTGGTCCCTCTCGCAAGCATTTTAGCCACAACTGCCGCCACTCGATTGCTCGCGCACGCCGTGAGCCGTTTGTTTGTAGCAGTGGCGTTGCTCCTGGCGTGGCCGTTCCCTGGCAGCCTTTGTGGCTAAGCGATGACACGTGACAGCTGCTCGCTCGTGAAGAACTCCGGTGGCCCGTGGCCATGAACCAGAATCAGCCGGGCCTTTGTCCAGGACTCATCTTGTGGCCCTACTTTGAAGTAAACAGCATTTGGCAAATACGTGAAGACTTCCGTAGCCGGCTGTGCCAATGGCGCAACACTTGTCGTGCTGCGATAATCACGTTGCTGTGAGCCTTGTAATTATTTGTATATGTTTGCGGTGATGCTGACAAAAGGTCTTGCAGCAGTCGGTGACCATGTGTCCGCGTACGTTCGGGTTAACGAGGTCTGGGAATTGTTACCGCGCCACCATTCAAATGTGTGGCCAATTTAGCAGGGAGACATCTGCTCTTGGACGTAGTGTACAGTATTTCAGAAGAACTTAGCTCGAACTGCATTGTGAAGCCCTCTTAATTATTTAAGCTCATCCAATAAAAGCTTTTGTGAGAAACGGTGGCACGTGTGTGTAAACAGCAGGAAAAAAAAACCCCACACGCACATGCATTTTTCATCAGATAAAAGTGATAAGAATTTTAGCATGAGCTGCAAGCTCTATTTTTTTAGGACATCAAACAAAATGTTGTTATGCACCTGCTGTCTCACCAAAGTTCAGACGGGACTTTGGTGAGACAGCAGGAAGCCCGTTTGGGACTCAATCAAATCAAACAACGAGGCATCGTGAAGCAACGCGATTAGCTCATATCTATTAGAGTTTGTTCTCCGTGCATCTGAATTTATTAAAACCCTGCATGATCACAAAACACGCACAAACACATGCTGGCCCACGTGCTAGCATCCTCCTAACAGCAGCCTCATGTCAGTTGAATGATCTGGCTTTGTCATTGACGATACTGATTATGAACGGGTACAAATTAGGGACAAGGCGATTGTAGCAAGCTTTACTATGATGGTGACGACTACCCCTACAGAATAAACGTAAGTTTGTGCTGAGGATGGCGGTGATGGTGAGGGCTGCGTCGTGTGGTGTTCCGGCAGAGTGACAACGCACGCGGCACCATGGAGAAGGTGAGCACCTCATTCCTGGACGACATGGTGGGCGTCGGGGACATGGTCCTGCTCGACCCCCTCACCGAGGACTCCTTCATTGAGAACCTGCGCAAGCGATTCCAGCACAACCAAGTCTACGTGAGTCTCGCTGCCCATGTCACGCCGCACCCTGTCGGGTCACACCGCCACCGCCGCCATCAACTCTGCCCCACCACCCCATACGCAGCCTTAACACTGCCCCACTGCAGCACATCCAGCATGAACAGTGGCCCATCACACCACCCCATGTATTAACATTGGCCCACCAAACCACCCCCTGCATTTACAGTGCCCCACCACACCACACCCACCATTAACACTGCTGCACCTCCCCACACCATAGATTAACATGTATGCCTGTTACTAGTCATACATTCATTGATCCAAATGCACTTTTATGCTAAAAAACATACGTCTAACCAGGTCTCAGAATGTCAGTGACAATTGGTGCAATGATTTGTATATCACATGCGAACGTATCATGAGGCAAATAAAAACAACAAAACAGATACAGGGCCGAATGTACAAAGCAGACAATCCCGATAGTAGAAGACAACAAAAAATAGTTTTTTGTTCAAATAATGGCACGGACTTGTGACAATTTCCTGAATTGGCACAGAACATTCAACCACGTGATCACATCACCTCAACCAGTGCTCCACACGAGGACCCGTGTGGAACTGCTATTGTAGGTGCAATGTTTGTACTTCATTAAAAACATAATCTATGAATTCAATAGTCTTTAAATTAAATGTTCTTTACATGTCTGGTACTATTTTGTCTGGAACAATATGACACGCTATGACCAAAAAATACATATATAACCTTTCCTTGTGTTTACAATGTGACCTTAGCATGGCTGTGCATTGTATTAGGGATGGAACGTAAATTACTCGAGTAAAAAAACCTCATAATGTTCTGACAGTTATTCAATAAAAGCTGCACGGTCGGCACAGTGTAGAGCAGTGGCATTTCTCACAAAATAAAGCCCAAAAGGCCACGGCAGGAAGAGCGAGTCGCCCCCCTGTTTGTTCTGGCGTGGTCGCTCCCATGGGCAGCTGTGCAGCTGAAGGGGCAGCCGTGTAGCTCGTAAAAGAATCCTCCTGCGGGAGCGAGCGATGAAACCGCAGCACTTGTTCTGGGTCCACATGGAAAAGTGGGGAATTGCAGCAATGACGCCTTGTTGCGGCAGCCACGGTGGGGTGACCACTTATTTTACAGGTGGAATTATTAATTATTTTGTTTGCTTCACTGTGCCTCGTCGCAGGCTAATTGCCGTCATGTTTGAATCCACAACCGCCGAAACACATTTTGTGGATGCACATGCTTTGATATCTTGATGTAATTTACACATGCCTCGAGCTTAACAATAATATACATTTTCACATTTATTTGTCCAGCGTGATATTTCAGAGGCCATGTAACGTGACAATTTGCATATTCTTGGTTCTTTCGGTAAAGTCACGTAGATAGAAAATAAAAAATAAAATAAAATAATTTAAAAATAAAAGCAAAAAACCACGACGTTTCGATCGCAACACACGCGGTCTTCATCAGGCGTGTAAAACAGCAGTAATTAAACATGTTTGTCCAAATTGAGTTGCTCAAACTTGTGTCTTTGTTCAAGTTTTAGCACATAACAGAGGCTGACTGTATTGGGTGGTGGCGGGTTTAACGACACATATTTAGGTGATCTTCCCCCCAAAAATAAACCCCTTTTATGGATAATATTGTTCGCAAAAGCCTACCTGGAGAACCAATTTTAGCACAGTTGGAAGATCTGTTGAGAGTAATTTAACGTCTCTACATCCCATTACTAAGCAAATAATTAAAGCATGGAGTTACTGAAAGGTTACAAGTCAGGTTTACTGGGCGAAATCGTGGATCTTTTTTCCCTGCTCACAAGGACATGGGAGGAGTTCATCGATGTCAATTGTGGCCATGCAACCAAAATTATGGACCATACAGTAAACACCACTCTATTCTACACTCCTTTTATGGAGGTGGAATAGCAAAACTACAAAAAAACTCTCTCCTGAAGCCCCTCTCGTGGCTAGCAGACCTCGACATTTATCTCTTGAACTTAATGTCATACGCATGAAGAGAATTGAGGCTGTCGAGGTCTTGCGAGCTGTATGGTATTGGTTGCCACTGTTGGTGTCACATGAGACCGTGGGTCCGATTTTAGTGTTGGCAGAACACTCCCTGCTCTGGCAATTTTTTTTATGGGAACAAAACAAAAAAATCTGTCAAATTTGTGGAAAGTAGATGTTGTGCTCATTTTCTGCCAGGTATTCGTAGAAGCTGTCTTTCCACCAATGCAGTGCACCAGTCAGTCCGTTGATGTGCACATTTTATACATTAAGAAAACGTTCGATAACACTCATTGTTCGCACAGGCAAAACACACCACGTTTTGTTTATTCAACGTCACCATGACATGAATGCTTTTCTTTAGAGTTGTTAAAGATCACAGAATTTCACCTCTGGTGGTGGGTAGCGAGGGAGGGCATATGTGTAAACTGTCCCGGCACGTGGCTACGTCCAGGGGAGAGGGTCACAGAGGTCAAATGATGAGGATTCACGATGGCGCGGTGCCTTGTTGGATTTCCAGACATACATCGGGGGCGTGGTGATCTCCATGAACCCCTACAAGGCGCTGCCGATCTACACGTCCGAGAAGGTGGAGGAATACCGCAACCGCAACTTCTACGAGCTGAGCCCCCACATGTGAGTTTCACTGACGTTGTCCTCCGAGGGTTGTCGTTGTGGGTGTGATCATGCTCAGTAGTGAAGGTGGTGCAGTGCATTGTCACAGCAAAACAATCCCCTTCCTCCTCGTGGTGCCGGATGGGCAACGCTGTCATGGGCAGTGCTGTGGGGGGAGGGCCAATTCTGATTGGCTTTTCCCCTCATGGCATTTGTGACCACCACAGCGGCCAAATGGGGGCCCTGGACGGGTGCGAGGGGCTGGTAACCCCTCCACCTTCAATTAATTACCGCTAAACCACGACGGAAAATTGTAATTAATAAGATTGTGCCGGAGGCCCCAGGGGGACAGGCGTCTATGACGTCTCCTGGCCAAACCCCATTTGGCAGAACCAGGAGACTGAATTCTTACCCTCGGGGCTCCTCCAGAAACAACAAAAAACCACTACGTGTGGCCACGTGGAATGTTTGAACGCTCACTGTGGAGGAGAGGCTGCCACTCCTCTGTCAGGAGCTGGACCGGTACCGCCGGAATCTCTGTGGTATTCAGGAGGTCCGGTGGACCGGCTCTGGCTCCTGCCACCATGAGGGGTGGACAGTCCTCTTCTCGGGGCAGGAGACTGCCAAACAACAGGTAGTGGCTCTTCTTCTGAACAAAATAATGAAGGGGGCGTGGGAGCGTGGCGGTGAGGTGTGGGAAGCTGTAAGCCCCAGGCTACTTTGGGCTTGCCTTCCTATCAACCAGAGGCGAGGAGTGGTGGTCATGGTTACTTATGCCCCCACTGAAGACGAATATCCATGGAGGGATGCAGGCAAGGCCAATGAGTCAGATGCCTTATATGACCTCCTGTCACAGGTGCTAGCTAAAGTGGCCCCTCGGGATAGAGTCATCTTATTGGGTGACTTCAATGCCCGAGTTGGTCATGATGCTGGCAACTGGTCTGGAGTGATTGGAAGGCATGTGCCAGATCAGCTCAATAACAACGGCAGGAGGCTGCTAGATTTTTGTGCAGCCCATGGGCTTGTAATTACCAACACACTGTTCCGACATTGGCGCATCCACACAACATCATGGATGCATTCCGGGTCCAAGCAAGAACATCTGCTGGACTACATAGTGACGGAACAGTGGATGCGGGCCTATGTCCTTGACACCAGGACCTACCGTGGAGTTGATCTCCCCACTAACCATCGACTTGCCATCTGTAAGATGTGCCTGCCTTTATTCCACTCCCGTGGTGGGTGTACACCCACCCCATTCAAACCCTTAGTCTCAGCTAGCTGATGAAAGTTGCAAGCGAGAATTTAATCATCGCTTGCGGCTGGGGTTGGCATCGTCCCCCACTCCTCCTGATGTCGAGGAGAAATGGGCAAGATATAGGACTGTGGCTCATGCAGCTGCAATGGCTGCTATGGGTACACAGTCCAGACCTCCCCAGAGACCCTGGCTGACAGAGTAGGTGTTCAAGCTAGCTGAAAAAAAGCGATAGGCCCACTCTCATTATCCCACACTCAGCTTCCCACTTCTAGCCCCGCCTATTTCCCGCCCAGCCTCACTTCTTCTCCCCCTAGCGCTCACGCAGCCCCCCGTCCCCCTGCTCCACCCCCCTCTCTCCCCCCCTTGCCCCTCCCCCTTTCTTACCTATATAACCTCTTGCCACGGCAGCTCTCTCGCCTCCTTCAGCATTTTTCTTGCTTTAGTTGTTCCACCTGATGAAGATTGCTTGTGTTGTGATCGAAACGTCGTGATTTGTTTTATTTTTATTTCTACCTACGTGACTTTACCGAAAGAACCAAATAGCACGTTATGTATGCCGATGATCTGGTAATTGCTGCTCACTCAGAGGAGGATTTGAAGGCGTTGCTGCTGAACCTGGAGTTTGCCACTAAGAGGTGGGGCCTTACCATCAGCTCCACCAAAACTAAGCACCTGCCTGGGTATTTTGTACCATCGGATACTCCACCCCCACAACTCCCAATTGGTGATGGGGCAGTTGTGGAGAGAGTGGAGAGTTTCCCATACCTGGGCAGTGTGCTCATGACCGGCTCCGGTTTAACAGCAGAGGTATCACTCCGAATCAGTCGAGCGGCATTATCTTTTCATCGGTTGCGTAACGCTGTGTGGAAGCTACCTGGTCTGTCGCTCCGCACGAAGCTTCAGGTCTTCTCGGCCACAGTCATTCCCTCCCTTCTCTACGCTTGCGAAACGTGGACCCCCTAATTAAACATCTTCGCCAGTTAGAAACATTTAGGCTGGCCTGCCTACGATCCATCCTAGGTTTAACCAGGCTGGATTGTGTGAGGAGCTCACAAATCCTTAAAAGAGCTGCATTGGCTGGGCCATGTAGCCAGCATGCCCAGTCACCGCATGCCTAAACAGCTTTTGTTCGGCCGGATTGAGGGGGCTAAACAGGCGCGGCACGGGCTAGAGAAGAGATGGAGTGATGTGGTACAGGAGGATGTGGAGCTAAGTGGACTTGCCGATGACTGGTACCAGCGGTGTCAAGATCGGCCTCTGTGGAGGAGGCTCGTGAAGGACGCTACTGGGCAGTTGGAGGCAGTCGCCCTCCAACAACAACGGAGAGCGGAGGAGCGACACTCACAATAACGAGCGGAGCGCCGGGTGGCTAAAGCACAGCAAGTTGGCACAGTAGGGGGCACAGGTGGTGTATCAGCCAGTTGTCTCAGTCAGTCGACCTGTGGCATCTGGGTCTGCCCTGTGACCTCCTGCTAGTAGGCGTTCGACACTTCACGTGGCCTCAAAGTGCACATAGCCTGGCACAAGCGTCGTGGTGACGTTACCGCCACTTAGTGGCGAATGGCGGTTGTTGTTCTTGTCACAGCGTCTGGGCCGTGGTTGCCCGGCCTTCGGTGCCTATGGGATCAGCGTTAGTAAACATTTCTATTTATTTCACTTATCATATAAATCATCATTAGCACCAGCGCCGACAGTAACCTGGGTCAATCCACTGCTGGATGAAAGCCTCCCCATCCTGTCATGTAATAATTAACTGAGCACCTGTAAACGAGATGATATTAATACTGAAGCTGAATACTCTAATGCTCCTTTGATTTTTTTGGTGATTGTAATTGTGAGTAGAGTACTGTATTTGCGCATTTCTGGATAAAGTCGATTGTTTGGGAAAAAAACCCCCAAACACACGAAGAAATAACACTCAATTATGTACGAAAGTACGTCAGCAGTTTCTTTTCTGCATTCATTTCCACAGGTCACTTTTACAGGTGTAATAAAAGGACTCAGACACTTCTTGCTGACTCCGTGTCCTTTATTTGGGGTTCGCGTTCTCCTTCCCCCACGGCACTCCTCCTGAGACTCTCTCCCTGGCAGCCCCACATCTGCCTTCGCTCCCGTAGCCTTCCACGCTCCTGCAGCTCCGCTGCAGGCTCTTGGTACAGCCCTCTGGCTGCTCCCCCAGCAGCTCCATCTCTGCTCCCTGTTCCTCCGTGCGTGGCGATCTCGCCACCTCCCAATGTCAGCCCTTCGTGGCCTCTATGGCTATCTCGCCATTTCCTACCTCAGCCCTTCGTGGCCTCTGTGGCTATCTCGCCACTTCCTACCTCAGCCCTTCGTGGCCTCTGTGGCTATCCCGCCACTCCAACCTCAATCCTCCACTCTCTCTTCCACCCCGCTGGCTGGCGCCATCATGAGCCCCTCAGCCACCAGGCTGAGGCACGGCGACCAACCAACGTGTTCACCACCCTTCACTCCCCCGACTGACCCAGATAGCTTCCTGTCTCCCCGCTATAACTTCTCCCCCACGTCACCCTGACTCCTCCCTCTCGGATCGTCATATCCGCCCCGCCCATTTACGCCCGCATTACACAGGTACTGAGTGTGTCTCAGCCATAAGCACATTTGCTTGATCCACACATTCCAGCTCCAAAGCTCTTGTCATTACAGTTGAGCATTGCGATTGAGGAAAACAAATTCTGACTGTTATAATTGAGCAATTTACCAATTAGTTGCTACTTTCTCTCTCACTAACGTAACCGAGTGATTTTCCTTTTATTGGTTACCACCTTTTAATTCCAACTCGACATTTGGGCCTTGGGCTATGGGTTTGGATCATGGCCGCTGTGGATATAAACAGACTTCTTCACTGTGCTTTGACACAAAGCATCACGATTAATTTCCCTTGTTTCACCTGAAGATCATGGAGAGAATTTCTCCGAAACTTTAGACTCATTAAAGTAAACAAATTAGGTTGTTCCATGACCCTCACATTGCTTATATAGCAATTCGGTTAATGATGTAATGTGGTAGTAGAAGACATGTAGACAAGGCCTCAACAAACCTGATATGCAGCAACACTCATGCAGCAAAAAAACCCAACTTGGTCTTCCTCTGAAGCATCGTTTGGCAGGAATGTCATGAGGAAGCTTGCTAAGTGAAGTTTCTGTTTCACAGTAGTTTTGGACATGAGCTTAGCATTATTGTCAAACGCCAACGATAATACGGCAAGACTGTATACCTGTTTGCACCCGAAGCTTTGACAGCCACCCTTTTCAAACACGTACTTTTTCGCCTTGCATCACAGCGCAAGTCAGGTCAGCACATTTACCAGTCCAGCAACTGAACGTTTTAATCACCGGTTTGAAACACAGGCAGAGGTTGTGAATACAAAAAGGATTAAAATAAAGTCGTATTTCAGTTGGCTAGTCGACTGTGTGACTTATCTGCCTCGTGAGACCAAAGAACATATGCTTGAAAGTTAAGGAGGATGTTTTTGTTTGTGGTTGTTGCACCCTCAGTTCATGTTGGTGATTGCCACAGATAGCAGATTAAGGGCTGCTGTGTTACAGGACAAAACATTCTCGCAAATACGAAGGCCCAAGTGATGTTGCTCATCTGGGCTATACATCCAGCTCTGTACTGTACAGCAATCCCCTCACTCATTAATTTCCCTTGAGAAACGTTGTCCATACCTATAGACTTACGCTTACTTTGCAGTGCCTTGTCAATCCAACTTGGGATGAAGTCCTCCCCATGCTGTCAGTCC